AAGGCAAAGTTGTCTGACTGACGGAGGGACAGAGGTCCAGGATCTATTTTTGAAAATGGGACGTAAGTGTACGTGGCAAGCGTACAATTTGCATCCTGAAGTTTTGCAGACGGTGCAGTGATAGGGACGGGGACCTGGATCCAGTTTATTGCGGCTTGCAGGTCATGGAAGGGAAACTGGTGGGGCCTTTCAATCGGGCATATCAGCGGCAGCCCTAATAGGTGAGGGCCTCAGCCGTTTCGGCACTTCTCTTCCTGCCGTTTTGAGAAAATAAGAGCGGAGCTTTGGTGTGACATGGAGTGAGGTCGTGCTCTGTGGCTGTTCGCGTTTTTCATGACTATTATTAAAGTGTTTTATTGTTATGTAATGCGAGCGTAAATGGGCAGGCCGGATGTGACGATCCGCGAGGGAGGAGTCAGGGTCACGTGGGAGAGGGAGGAGTCAGGGTTACGTGGGGGAGAGGTTATAGGAAGGAGACCGGAAGACATCTGGAGCAGTCAAGGGAGTGAAGAGGGAGACCACGTTGGGTGGCCGCCGTGCCCTCAGCCGCGAGGCTGATAGGGCTCGCCAGACGGCACCAACCAGCGGGGTGCGGAGAGAGCGGAGTGCGCGGGGCGCACAGGGCGTGCGAGGTTGCACGGAGCAGCAGAGTAGCTGCAGAGCTAGCGGAGGGCTAGCAAAGGGTGCGAGGTTGCACAGGCAGCAGAGTAGCTGCAGGGCTAGCAGAGCAGCAGTGTGGCTGCAGATCGGAGCAGCAGTGTGGCTGCAGAGCGGAGCAGCAGTGTGGCTGCAGAGTGGAGCAGCAGTGTGGCTGCAGAGCAGAGCAGCAGTGTGGCTGCAGAGCGGAGCAGCAGCGTAGCTGCAGGGCGGAGCAGCAGCGTAGCTGCAGGGCGGAGCAGCAGGGTAGCTGCAGAGTGCGCGGGGCGCAAGGAGAGACGACGCTGGGCCGAGGAGGAGGCCAGCGGGGTGAGGAAAAAAAGAACATCAATAAAGGACCAATGGAGATCAACATCGTGTGACGGAGTCCTTTATAACAGTTACAAGACCATCCTGAGTGCACTCGTTAGTAAGGTGCTGAATTAGGAAATAGACTACATATGTAAGGCGGCGGTGTGGAGTTCACTTCACACTTTTACCAGCAACTACTGTCTGGACACTTTAGCATCGCATGAAGGCAGCTTTGGGGGAGAGCTTTCCTTTTAGCTATAGTTGCCCATAACCATTGAGTTGGATCTTCTTCTTGGTTCTTTCGGTAAAGTCACGTAGAAGGGAAGTAATAAAATAATAAAAATAAAACATAATAAAATAATTCTCACGACGTTTCGGCTACAACGCAAGCAGCCATCTTCAGGTGAAGAATGAAACACTGCCAAGCTTGGATCGTATATACAAGCTGGGTTGGAGGTGGAAGAAGAGCGCCTTGACAAAAGAATTTGCATATCAAGAGGAATTTAGCATATTTATGGGAAATGCGTAGGAGGTGGGCCTGGGGGGGGGGGGGTTTCAAAGTCATATTATGCCCATGCATTATGCATTATGCAGGATTAGCAGCATCAAAGGGAGGGGGTAGGGGGTAGCATTAACAAAGGGAGGGAATGTTAATAGTATGTAGAAGCAACAAAACATGTCAATGGGAGAGTGGTGGCAGGAGACCTGCAGTGGAGCAAATAATGCATTCCCTGTGGAGAACACAAGATACACAGTCAATGCCAGTGAGTGGACTGCGGTCTGAAAGTCACCGTAAACGTGAACAACAATCAGTTAAGATCCGAAATGGTTTATTACGTCCTTCCAAAAATTGCTGAGCCAGAATCTATCTTCTCGGTTGAAATTGTCTCTGTGTTTGTATATGTGGATCGCCTCATGAACAAATCTCTCATGGTAGCCAGATGGCTTGCAGAGAACCTCTGTCTTCGAGAAGTCAATGTCATGTGAGCCCACTGAATTGTAACAGTGATCTGCCACGGCTGAGGTGTTTGTCCTACCGTGTTTCAGGTCTGCTTTATGTTCACGGATGCGGTCCGAGACATGTCGTTTGGTCTCTCCAATGTAACTGCTACCACAGAGGCAACTTAGTTTGTAGACTTCAGGGTACTGTATGTCTGGAACCACGTCTTTTACAGACGGGACCAGATCACAGATTTTATGTACTGTGTTGAATCGGATCTGGATCTTGTGTTTAATCAGGATTTTGGAGATCTTTTTTGTGACCCCAGCAATGTAGGGTAAGGTGATGGTTTTGAAAGGCTCCTCAACAGGATCCTTCTTGATGGTTGGAGTGATAGCTTTGCGGATTGTGTAGTCGGAGTAACCATTAGCCTTAAGAGCTTGGCGTACGTGTTTGAGTTCACTGGCAATGTGTTCCTGGTCGGAGATTCATTGGGCTCTATGGTATAGAGTCTTGATGAGGGAGTTCTTCTGGGATGGATGGTGGTGGGAATCCGGTTTTAGGTAAGCATCCGTATGGGTGGCTTTCCTGTAGACAGAATGGCTCATTGAACCATCAAGTCTCCTTTTAATTAGGACATCCAAAAAGGGTAGCTTGCCATCTTTTTCGACTTCCATGGTGAATCTGATGGCTGGGTGTATGGAATTGATGTGGTCGAGGAATTGGTCTAGAGTAGGCCGGCCATGTGGCCAGATGACAAAAGTGTTATCTACATACCTCTTCCATAAGGTCGGGCGTAGAGTGGCAGTCTGGATGGCGTCAGTCTCCAAGCTTGGCAGTGTTTCATTCTTCACCTGAAGACGGCTGCTTGCGTTGTAGCCGAAACGTCGTGGGAATTATTTTATTATGTTTTATTTTTATTATTTTATTACTTCCCTTCTACGTGACTTTACCGAAAGAACCAAGAAGATGAATCCCTGCAGTCACGAAAGCTTTACATTGAGTTGGAGTTATCGTTATTTTCCCGCCTCCGACTAGGTTCTGGTATGGGATCTAATGTCAGTGACCACTCTGTGAATAAACTAGATTTTAGCTTCAAATCTAGATTAGATTTTAGGACTTACATTAAATCTGTTTTCTAAATATATATAAATGGTCACCGATACACTTCATTTCCTGCCCCTCAAATTTGTATCTTCTCCAACTAAAGGCAGGAGTCGGAGATAGCTCGCATACGATGGTACATACGGGCTGTGCAGTTATGTGGTGCTTGCCTGCGTTGTTGTACGCTCTTAAATGAACAAACGTGGGCTCATCTCATGACCCTTTTGTAACTCACTGGCGTTTGCTATTTCGTGACCCCCCCCTCCACCTAGAAGTACTAATTACATTTAATTACATTCATATAAAAACTAAATGCTATTTTTATGCATTAGCCAAGCTCCTGAGTGCTCGGCACTGAAATGGTGATTTTATGTTCATAGTTGGAGCGTGTTAGTGAGCACTTATGAAATACATATTTAACATACGTGTAGTGGTTTAACGCGCACCAAGCGGGGTAATTGTAAACACGTGCGGGTTGGGAACAGTGGGGTCGCATCGGGACATGCTGGTGTTGCTGGGGGACAACGGGTGAGACAGAGACGGCCCGTTAGGCAATTATGGATGCAGGGCAGTGATTGGCCGGTTGTTGTTGTCAGGGACAAGGTGGCGCCTTTAAGTCTGGGAATGGGGACAGGTGGCGGCGGGGGCCGGGGGCGCGGGGCGTTGGGGGGACACCAATTAATTAATTGGAAATTAATAGGGACGGGGATAAATACGGGAGCGTCAGAGTGAGCCGGGGAGTTGTGCTGGGAGGTGGACGGAGACGGTCGGAGCAGAAGAAGATTTGAGAAGAAGTATAGAGTAGCAGTGGAGTAGAAGAAGTACAGGGTAGCAGTGGAGTAGAAGAATAAGTATAGGGTAGCAGCGGAGTAGAAGAAGTATAGGATACCACAACGCGAGTATATGTCAGCGCAGGTGACGAGACTCGGGGTGCTGAGGTGAAGGAGAGGGGTGGTGACGTCACACGACACGAAGGAGGAGGGAGAGGTGTGATAACGATTGGAGTGAGTCGGTGAGAAGGGGGGGGGGTGATGACGTCACGCAACACAGACATTTTATATTAAAATGTCATAAAGCATTAAGATACTAAAATATTAAAATATCTAAAACGTAAATTCCAAATGATAAAACATATTCGCCATCCTTGTACCTCGGTAGTACCCCGGGTTCCTGCTAGTTACATATATTATTACCTCGACATAACAATGTCGTTTAATGCGTGCTATCCCTCTCGTAGAGTTCACATACTCCATAATCCTTTATGTAAGGAGTCATTTGGTATATTAGTCACGTGCAATATTATTAAAAAACGTTTCTTTACTCCAATTTATATCTTGGTGAAAGTTCCTTATAGAATGTTTGATGAAATTGTGCCAATATCTCTGCTTCCAACAATGCCAACAAATCGATAACTTGTTGAACTTAAGACATTTCGTAAAACTGTGCCTCTGGTTCAATAGAGTTACCTTGTAGATACATATTTAATTACTTTATATTAACACATTACACATTCTCAAAAGTTAGCGAATTCTGTTCCAACACAACCCAGGGAAAACACATTCTAATGCTCTGACCCGGAGCTAAATACTGCTAACAGCCAGAACGAAATTAAACTAATTTTCACAGGTCTTATTTAGCTTTTTGGCTGTCCCCAGTCTTGTAATAAATTCAATTGTCATACCGATCAACCCCTTATCAGTGCCGACTTTATTACAAATTCAGACCTTATTCGTCACCCATGCCCCTTATAAATCTCAACTTCATCCTACAAAGTCCCATGACAAGGGAGAGACACAAATAGACAAAAAAAGTGCCGTATTGAAACGGCTGGACGTCGTATGAACCTTAAAACTCAATTTCCCTGTACAAGAATAGGGGTAAACCGTATGGGTTGACAGCTATGTAATGTTCGTGAGTCTCATTCAGTTCTTTGGCTGTCCCCAGTTCCGTAATAAATCGCGTTTGGTGTGCGGCGGGGGAGGTTAGGTAGTGAGAGTGCTGAAGTTACCTTGGTGAGGGCAAGATACGTCCCTTGGAGTGCTGGAGGGTTGCGACAAATCACCTCCCCAGGAGTTTCGTATGCCCGACTCACGAGCCACGTCCACAGCTCAATGAGGCGGCAATCGCACAGCCACGGGTTGCCACTGAGGCCCACGGTCGCGAGCGACTTGAGCGACAGTATCGAGCGCAGCGAGGTCAGTCGGTTGTTGCGCAACGTGAGCACACGCAGGCGGCGCAGGCGAGCAAAAGCTCGGACACCCAAGCTGGTCAAGCCCATCTCGTCCAGGTGGAGGTGGGTGAGGCCGCGAATGCCGCGGGCCAGCCAGTTGTTTTTCAGCGATGGCACGGGGTTCCTGCTGAGTCGAAGCAAGTTCAGGTTGTCCAAAACACGAATCGCGTCCGACGGAGGGGTCGTCAGGTTGTTCCCATCGAGGGCGAGACGACGCAGAGCTTGTAGGCCATGAAAGGCATATTTCGATATATTTGAGATGGAGTTGTCGTTCAGGTAGAGCCACTGCAGAGAAGTAAGACCCTGGAAAGTGTGGTCTGCGAGCCAAGTCAGGTGGTTGTAGCGAATGTAGAGGCCAGTTAACTTCTTCATTGGGGAGAAAATACCTGTGACGCATGTGTCATAAAAAGTAGATTCATTAACTAAATAACAGTACAATTCAAACAAGCAACGACTTTATGCAAACACCAGATGACTTGTATTCATAATGAAACTATGAGACAGCTTACTTGCGTGACAACTTAACAGAATGGGTCCAAGCACACACGGGTGAAGTATTCCGACAGTTGTTTATTCAAAACATACCACACACATATAGAGATCACCGAAGACCTGGATTCATGGCCACCTCTTCCCCTATACCCACCAAGGCCCCCATTCTCAGCTTTTTTCCACGACCTGTTTACACTTCAAAAACCCTGTGGGTGTTGTGTTCTTATTCACACCCGCGGCCCATCAGGTGGCTGTTCACCGATTAGCCCTTCAATTCCATTGGCTGGTACAGTATTAGGTATTATGCTGAGCCATTTAAATAGCAGAACAGGTGAGCAATGCTGCGAGTACAAGGTGTTAATTTATTACATTAATAACAGGCTAGCTCTCAGTATCCGTTTCATCCGTGGCTTGGGGTCAATTTAACGTGACAATGCAAAGAACAAAAATAAAACTTACTAGTAAAAGATTACAGCCACAAAGAGCATGAACAACAAGAAGGATGATATTTTCCCAGTTAGAGAAAGAAATAAGGTGCAACACCACCAGCAAATCCAATACCACAAGGTCCAGGCATGGGAAAACGCCTCTCATCGGCAACACCAGTGGCGAGTTGGTGGCCTTGAAGTGCTGGATCACTCCCAACGAGGGGTTATTAACCACTGCCATTTCCTGGTATGCTTCCTACCCGAAGACCTGGTTCCCCGTGGGGATGGTGGAGGTGGCCTGAACAGACTGTTAGGGCAAGTGCTGTTAGCGAGCACCTATTAACGCTGGCACTGTGTTACATGAGTAGGTGGGTGGCCAGCACAATTTATCATAACCACGTCTGTGACAAAAGTAAATCATTATTAAATGTAACCCTAACTTTTGCAAAGTGGAACTTGATAATTAAAAGTGATATAACAGTGTACCTAAAGAAGAACATATTTAATCGGTGCATACATGCGATGTGACATGATTCATTATTATGGCATTAAAAATATAGAACAGAAGCTGATAAGTGTGCAAAGAATCATGGAGAGTTGCACTCTTAGAATGACATTTGAGAGAAAAAGAGCAGCACATAGATGAGAGAAGATACGAAGGTTAATAACATTATCAAACCTGTTCATAAAAAGTCATCAGGCTTGGGCAGGACATGTCGCATGAAAGTAAAATGGACAATGGACAATGGTCAATAATAATTTTTTTTATTTTACCTATTTTTATTTTACCAGGTAAGGCCCACTGAGCTATGTAGCTCTTTTTCAAAAGCAACCTGGCCACAAATGATAGCTCAACGAAGTGGCTTATCGTGTAGAAATGTATAGCAGCCAAATCAACGCATACTGATTCTAAATGTGGAGGGAAAAACCGGAGGACCCGGAGAAAAATCCACACGACCACGGGTAAAGAGACATGCAAACTCCAAATATACAGCAGGCGTCAGGGTCGGGATCGAACCTACGGCCTCCTGTATACCAGGCGAGGTAGTTAACATCTCGCCACCGCTACACCCACTCCAATAACAATGGAGTGTCAGTGAAGGAATCTGGTGCGTCCGGGAGTATGTCAATGAGGACCTGGAGTGATTAAATCAATTCATTTACAGGTGCTGGGTGGAGTGTTGCATTGCAATATGTGAGGTAGCGGAGGGCTTGAGTTAGGCCTTCATCCAGCAGTGGATTGATTATGGCATACGATGATGTAATAAATGAAAAATACGAGGTAGTACCTGAACAGATGCTATCCAGTTGGTTATAGTCGAGGTAGAGGTACGTAACGCTGACAAGTCCATCAAATAATCCTACCTGGAGGCTCTTCAAACTGTTGTTTTGCAGGTAGAGATACGTCAGCTCGGAGAGGCCATTGAAGGCACCGGGTTTCACAATCGATAACTCGCAGTCGATGAGGTGCAACGACTTGAGCACGGACAAATTTCGGAAAGCGTTGGTTGGCAAAGTGCGGAGCTGGTTTCCCTGCAGGTCGAATTGGGAGGTGTTCGAGGGCACATTTTGTGGAACTTCACTGAGTCTGGCATCGAGGCAGCTCGTGTGCCTCTGAGGAAATAGGCACCTGCAGTGTGCCGGACAGGCAACGTCCGATTGGGCTATCGCGGTTGTCGGCGTCATTTCTAAACTCGCGCTTGTGCTCTGAAATAGCAGCACGATAGAGAACACGAGGTCAGTGAAGCAACGTCTTGAAGTCTCAGGCCACCGCGAGGGCTTGCTGCAACACACAGGTACGTGCACACATACACACACGGGTACTAAATATGGTAATAAAAATAATAATATGGAAACTCTTACAACTGAATCTCAATTTACATATACCTTGAGAACATTCAAAGTATACGTTTTCTGTCAATAACATTAAAGCATGCAACTGATATGTTAAGATATTGTATTGTGACAAAACGTATCGAATATATTTATGCCCGATTCTGAATGCAGATGAGAATGATATTTAAATAAATCGGCAATGGTTTTTTTGTTGCTTAGGCATGATATGAGATGCAAGCTCAAATATTGTTTACTCTCCAACAATCTAAACCAATACTCACTGTAGCCCGCGTCCTGGCATGGCGTCTCGGGAGGGTCACCGGTGCCGGTATCGTGTTGCGGTTTGTGCCTCAGTGAGCACGTGAGAGACAGCGACGAGGCGGCAGGACGAGTGGGGGAGGTGATGGGGGAAGATGGGGGAGGGATGGAGGGGATTGGGGGGAGGTGATGGGGAGGAAGTGATGGAGGGGGGATGAAGGGGATGGGGGGAGATGATGTGAGAGGGGGAGGAGGTGATGTGAGAGGGGGGGATGGAGGTGATGGCGGAGGGATGGAGCGGGTGGGGGGAGAGGGAAGGAGGTGATGGGGGGGGGGAACCCCGGTGCCAGGCTTCACCGTCAGCTAGGGGTCTACACCACGTGGCCCTTCCGACCATTGTCTCAATCCCCGCTGGTAAAGGCACGAGGTGGTGCGATTCAGGCTTTCTTGAAAATCCACTCAACTGGTACTGTAGCCAATTATACCAGGTTAATATTAAAGCACAATGATGCTGATCTTTAACTCTAACGAAATACATTGTTTTGCAATTGTAAACAAACTCTTACTTTTCTTGTTTGAGTCACGTGAAAACAACTTGATTTGTATTGGGAATAATTATGCCTCATGGTTCTGTCGAGCATGATTCGCAGCATGTTGTTGCACTACTCAGATTTGTTTTTACTGACAGCAACTTAACTTAGTCGCACTGCATTTCCATTCACAAAATCCAGCCCTTTCATTTCAAATTGGGGTTCATAAATAATTTCTTTTACCTGGTACTTAATTACATACCCAGTGACTGGGCTATTTTTCAGGGCTGCATGCGCAGGACCAGCATGCACTCTGTGGCATTTAAATAAGCCGTGTCCCTACGTGGCCTCGTGAAACATCGGCCAGAGGAGGAGCTGAACCAACACGACTGAGACCCTGGGTTAGAATCCAGGCAGCCGCTTCCAATTTAACTGGGTTCTTAGGCCAATCACCAATGCCTACAACAATCCTGTTGCGTTAAATTAGTTTTTTTTACTTAACTTGGCTACGTTTTGTGTCTGGGAATTAAAACATACATTTTAACTGTAAAGTGACAATGTCATTACAGAACATGTGGAAACATAATGGTAAAACGTGAATTAATTGTAGGACAAAAATATTAAAATTAGAAATTTAGTTTTGCACCTTTGTGAAAAAATGTTTTGGGTCAATACCACAATGCACAGGATTCCTCTTTATTCCGTACATTTTGCATATGGCCTCACGAAATTACGAACTGAGCAATATTTAAAGGAAGAGGAAATATTCACTCAAGATTAATACCTCTAAGAACGTAGTGCAAACATATTAAGGAGAGGGAGGTGAGGGAAAGGTCGACACCCAGAACAACACAGAGCAACATTTCCCAAGTGTAAGAAAGTAAAAAGTAAAAACTTTTAATTTTACCAGCTAAGGCCAAGTGAGATAAAAAAAAAACTTTTTTTTAGAATCGAGCTAGCCACAAATGATGGCCCAACGAAGTGGCATATCACGTTGAAATTTACACCAGCACCAAATACTTTAAACGCGTGTCGTTGATTATAATTGTGGAGGGGAAAAACCGGAGGACCTGGAGAAAAAAACACGCGACCACGGGGAGGGAGACACGCAAACTCCAAATATACATCAGGCATTATCAGGGTCGGGATCGAACCCACGACTTCTTGCATACCAGGCCTAAAGATTAGCAGCCTGTCGTAGGAAATGGATGGGTGGATATCCTGTGGATGGTTGGCATCGACTTGAAAATACGTTTCTAGCAAGGCACAAAGCGAAATTTGTTTACGTAAATGTCGCCACCCACAGGGGTCTCCTTTTTTCCTTACATTTAGCAAACTGTGCAAAATCTGGAATGCTGGAGGCGGGACAGGCCTATCCTGCTTTGCTGCCAAGCCAACTGCCCTTATGGAGGCATCCTACAAAGCTTAGGGTTTTCGGACAATAACGCATCACAAGTCACGTCTTGCTAATGACCTCCACTGAAACTTTAAATGTAATCGGCCCTCAACCCATCGAGTGCCTCCTAAGACCTCAAGAAGAGTGTCTGCTCATGTTCAGAGAACTCCTGATGCAAGTCTCACTCCTGTCAACATCCGTGTAGTCAGCTGCAAAAGCTCGGCATCAGGATATGAGGGCTCTGCTGCTGCAAAAGGTTCTCCCACGCTGGCAACAGTAATGCCTACTGCCATAGTAGGTCTTGCATGTCGGAGATTTAAAAAAACACAGTTTCTGCCACTAGTGAGTGGCAATCAGCGACACGAATGCTCTGTCCTTCCTGATCTTGGCTATGACCTTGAGGATAAGAGGCTTTGGCAGGAAGGCATACCGTTTGCCTCTGGTCCACTGCATCACGGGAAACATTTACCGCCAGTGCCTATGGTGCTGCAGAAAGCGCGAGCAGAACTTCACGAGCCGATGGTTGTCCCTTGTTGGTGAAGAAATCGACGTCAAATGGACCAAAGCAAAGTTGCAGGGCAGTCAAACACCCTGGGATAATGCTTCTCTCCAGGCTTGAGCAGTCAACAGCTGAACACATCAGCTGTCTTTGTATCAATTCCAGCTTGGTGAGAGGCTTGTTCAGGTTTCGTTTTTAATTTATATTACTATTTTATTTATATGTTATCAGGTAAGGCCCACTAAGCTATGCAGCTTTTTTTCAGAAGCTACCTGGCCACAAATGATAGCTCAACAAAATGGCTTATCGTGTAGAAAATTACAACAGCTAAATACTATAAATGCTTGATTTTGATTCTAAATGCAGAGCAAAAAACCGAACGACCCGGAGAAAAATCCACGCAACCACGGGGAGAACATGCAAACTCCAACTATACAGGTGTCAGAGTCGGGATCAAACCCACGACCTCTTGTATACCAGGCGAGGTAGTTAACATCTCGACTTGCTGTTTGGCTATTTTCAGGAAATAAAACAAATATATAAAGAACTTACGTCTTTAAAACCACTAGGGTACTTCCCGATAAGGTAGAAACCTGAGATTTGGTACGTAGCTTTTAGGACAAAAACAACAGGAAAACATCTGAAAATCCGAGATTTATCATTTTAAGGCCTCCAAACCTAGATTTGAAGTGCCCCATGAACATGTTTCTGAGTGTCATTCAGAAACCGTTCAAAATATAAGATTGTGGTTTTTTTTCGTTTTATAGAGCACTAAACAGCAAATAAAATCAAAGCGAGAACTATTGGGTTCTATCTTTTATTGATTGAGATATTTCCGATTCAAGCGGTTTTGAACGAAAAATAATAAGCATTTTATGATCTTCAAATCTGAATAATTCGAAAACGGTAAAAGATAGGAGAGCTTCCCCCCGAAGAGTACTAATTTCATAATATTTTGTTATTTCTAATAAAAAAGAACAATCTTTAAATTGAGTGGTTTTCCGATGGATACGTCTTTAAATATAAGTCGAATCAAGTCAAAACAATTTTTTTGAAAAATTAAAACTAATTTGGACTAGTTGTTAGTGGTCTGATCATAGATACAAATTATCAGGCTAATTATTATATTCTATTAAAAGCTTGCCTGGCAAAGACAGATTTTATGAACGAGTGTTAAAATAAGTCTCCTTATTTGTGTAAATGTGCCTTGTCTACAAATATGCACATTCCATTAGCTTTTTCTCTGTCAGGGTGCATGTGCGGAGTCATCATTTTATCGGTAGTGGGCTGAGAATTTGACTTTAGCAATGAAAGAGAAATGCTGGCCGCATCAGTGTGCCAGCAAGTCACACACACATGAGGGAAATCGGGACAGACACCGCAGGCCCCATAATAATGGCGAAAACGCCAATAATAATTAATTGAGGAAGTTCTCGAACCGCTGCAAATGGTTGAGATTAGTAATGTAAAACAAATACATATATAAATCAGTTACTGCACTCGCTTTCACACAAAACTGCGCTGTCAGCATGTAAAAAAAATATAGCATTTTAAGTAATGCAAAGTACAATTGTACAGGGAGGGCTAAACATTGTTATTGTGCTCGGTTACATAGGCTGGAAAGTGGGGGGGCAGGGTGGCGAGCAGGTCTTGTGATCAAGAACGCTATAGACGACAGGAAGCGCCGCCATGGTAACAGCCAGCCAATGCAAAAATACTGGAAAGGCTTTCAACAACACGAACAATGCCTCGCTGACTAAGTACAACTGTGGTGCCACAACCGCGGAGCAACTCCGCAAGCGCCGCGATTCCCTCCCGGCCCCCACACTAAACATACACCCGCACGCAGCGCACCCACGTAATGTCCTGGCGGGGGATTGCCTGGCACATCGGGTTTTAATCCGAAGGGTCCCTAGACCGAGAGTCCCACGGTTTCCCGGTGCCAGGAGATTGGCTGACCCTCACAGGACAGGTTACGTTGCGGTGCCCCTAAATTGGCTTAAAATTGTATGGGCACAGAAAGAAAAGGTTCCCTGGGCCAACCGCAATGAGGTACAACTCGGAGGGGAGAACGGAGGACGGAACATTTAGCAAGGACACAAGAGACAAAAGGACAATGGGTGGCCGCCGCCTGCCGGTCACAGGGAAAGGGACGGCGGCGCGGGTAAGCGCATGATTGGCTGCGCGGTACAATGGCACCCCGGGCCTTTGAAGTTAAGGAAATAAAAAGAGTAGCCCGGGACAATTTGAGGCAGTTGGCTTCAACCTCCGGGCCGTCAAGACCCACTCCCTGCCGTCCTGCCTCCTCGAGCCGCTCGCAGCATCCGTGTGATGCCAGCGAGTGCTGCTACGAGGCAGTGATAGGTGAGGTTTTCGCTCGTCCTTCTTCCGACTCTCACAGCATCCATGCGATGCCGTGAATCTAGCTTCGAGGTACGTGGTAGAACGCTTGAGTGACTGGATTCGTAGGCAGAGTCAGGCTAAGCCCTTCTTGTGAAATATTCCCCCTCCAGGTAGGGTGTATTTGCGCCGTTAATGAACTTTAGTTCAGAGGATCGGTGCAGTGTGATTTCTGTGTGTGGGTAGAACCTCGGCATGGTGTCTGTGATTTGCGTGTGGTGCGACTGCACGGGGAGACGGTGTGCGCGAGAGAGTGAGTGTGGAGCTGCAGCATGTGCGTGCGTGCTGAGAGGA